AAAAAAATAACTCTAAATTCATGCATTAAACATTTTTAATAATTAAAAGTTCATAGTACTCAAACAATACATAATATAAAATGTCTCCAAAACAAAGTGTTAAAGCTCTAAGTAAGTAAAAAATTAAACATTATAGTTTAATCTTCTTCCTCATCAAGATTAAAGTCTTCCTCTCCCTCAAATTCATCACTCCCACTAGCATTAGAATTATATTCTTCTTCTTCCTCTACATCATCATCCTCGTCTTCTAGTACTTCCATCACTTTTTTTCCTTTATCTTTCTTGGATGTAGATGCAATTGTTGATGTCTTGTTCACTTGTGTTTGTCTCCTAGTGTATTTCAAAGGTTCACCGGCACCACTTGCTTGGGCAACATCTCTCCAAGTCAAAACATCATCATCAAACACCAAGTCATCTTCAAATTCATCCTCATCATTTTCTTCTCCCAACATCCATTCATTGTTATCATCAACTTCATTCAAAGCAATTGGATCAATTGGATCTTGACACTCAAAGCGTTCTTGAAGAGCTTGATTATATTTAATAAAAACCAAGTCTTGAAGCTTTTGGTGCTCAAGCTTACTTCTCTTCTTTGAGTGAATCTATAATAATTTAAGAACGTGATGTTAGTTAATTTTCCATTTTTAATAATAAAATCCATTAATTCATTAACTTACATGCTCAAAGGTACTCCAATTATGCTCACAACCAGATGAGCTACAGCAATCAAAAGGAGCCAAAGAAGCTAAGGGGAAGAAAATATCGAATATTGTTCTTATGCCTACATTTTGGAGTGATGTTGTTTATGCTTTAAAGGCTATGGGGCCTATTGTACACGTGTTGAGGTTGGTAGATAATGAAAAAAAACCGGCAATGGGTTACATTTATGAAGCAATGGAGAGGGCTAAGGAGGCAATTCAAATTTCTTTTAATCATAATGAAGAAAAATATAAGGATATATTTGCAATTGTTGATAGAAGATGGGATTGTCAACTCCATCATCCGTTGCATGCAACAAGATATTATCTAAATCTTGAGTTTTATTATAAAAATTCAACAAGAATGGGTGCTGATGAAGTGGTGGATGACAACTCTCATATGATCACTCTTGAGTACAAAAATTTTGAAGAAAAATACAAGCTTATAATGAATGAAAATGAGAAACTCAAGAATGATCTATCAGACATTGTCAAAGAGATTTAGGATCTCAAAAGAAAAACTACAAGTAACGAAACATTTGAGATCACAACTTTACAAGATGAAAATATACAACTTAGAAAGGATAATCTTACTAAATTTGTAGATGGATCTTCTAAGTTAAACATGATTTTAAAATATGGAAGATTTCCATTTGACAAAAGTGGTAATGGTCTTGAGAAATAGGAATAAAAAACTTCCTTTCTGAAACCTAAGACAGTCTTATGTAATATATGTGGTAAAAGTAATCACCAATCCTATAGATTAACATGAAAAAGAAATATATGAAGCCTGAGGGTAGAGGACTAACAAAAATGGGCCCAATAAGTTTTAGGTATTGAAGTCTCAAATAATACCTATTGTAGATATCCTTGGTGGGAAAGAGAAAGGATTCACACTGATACCTAAACAATGGCTACTTATGACACATGAAGAAATAATACAAAAAAATTACCATATAGTAATGCACACCCTATAATGACACAATACTTGTCAATAAAACTAATTTTACCTATTAATACAATATGTTTTTGAATCACATTCAAAATTAACACTAAAATAATGTATAAGTATATGTCAAATATATATATACCTACATATATATTGTATTTATAGTGACACTTCTTATATGTCACTATATGTAATATTTCTTGCATTGGGAGAGAGGTCTATGTTCTTAGACCTCCAACCTAATGATAGATGATCAGTCTCATTCGATAGAAGTGATAAAGGAAATATAAGAGATATAGGTAAGGTTGGTAAGAACTTTATACCTACTATTGAAAACGTACTTTACTTTAAATAACTAAAATATAATCTTCTTAGCATTATTTAATTTTGTGATAACAAATATACTAAATCTTTTGACAAAAACTAATGCATAGTCAGATGAAATGATGAGTTTGTGCTCTTTATTGTATATAGAAAGAACAATATGTACGAGATTAATTTGGATGATTTGGGCAAACAAAATGTAACCTACTTAGTTTTTAGTAAAGATAAGAGATGAATTTGGCACAAAAAACTTGAGCATAATAACTTAAAACACATTTCAAAACTTAACAAAAAAGGTTTAGTATAAAGTTTTCCTAAGATTTCTAAGAACTATTAAGCTTGGGTTTTTTAAGAAGCAATTATGACAACTGTCTTTACACTTTAAGAATAGGAGAAGGGTGTTTCCTTTTCTTGCTTCAATATGTGAATGATATTCCTGTAGCTAGCTCTAGTAAGAATGAGATAGACATGCTCAAAGAAAAGTTCAATTCAAAGTTTGAGATGAAAGAACTTAGTATTGCTAAAATTAAGGATACTTGTGACAGATATTGTGAGAAACATAAAGGAAGGAAAATTATTTTTATCTTAATATGGATACTTGAAGAAGGCGGTGGAAAGGTTTAGGATGCATAAATTTAAACCTATTAACACACTAGTCATTCCTTTGGCTCATCATGTAGAAGTTGTTTACACTAAAGAGGAAAGGAGAAAGATGATATTTTTATTCTATATATATTCTATTGGAGTAGGAAGTATCATGTTTGGTATGATCAATAACAAACCTGATTTGGCTTATGCTATTAGCATTGTTAGTTGTTTCATATTAAATTCAGGCCAAGTTCATTGGAAGACTTTGAAATGGGTGTTGAGGTATTTGAATGGTTTTCTAAAAATTGGTTTGAGGTATATAAAGGTAGTTCAAGGTGGAGAAGTTGTTGTGGGGTATGTCGATGCAAAATATGTAGAAAAATATGGATACTAGAAAATCTTTATCTAGGTATGTCTTCACTTTATTTGGAAATGTTGTTAGTTGGAAAACAAACTTACAACTTATGGTAGCTTTGTCTACAACACAAGCATAACATATGGCTCTTGTAGAAGGGGTGAAGGAAGTTCTATATGGTTAAAAGGGATGATTGGTGAATTAAGTATATCACAAAATTGTGTGACAATTCATTATGATAGTTAATGTGCTATATATACCTTGCAAATCATCAAGTTTATCATGAGAGGAAAAAACATATTGATATAATGCTTCACTTCATTAGAGATGTGGTTGAAACTAAGGAAATTCAAATTAAGAAGATTGTTTCTAAAGAAAATTCCTGTAGATATGTTCACAAAGTCTCTATCAACATTCAAGTTCAAGCTTTTGACCTGATCAATTTTATTTGAAGCTTTGTTCTAAAGTGGGAGAGTAGTGTTGTGTTGAAAAGGTTTTTTTCTTTAGCTTTAGAGTCAAGGTGGATAATTGTTGTTTGTGACTCAAAAATTTAGTGTATCATTTATATGCTTTGTATGGTCTTTTGTCTACATAGTCTTATACGCTCAATATGTCTACTTTAATTTTAGTGTCTTGGATCCTTTTATATATATATATATATATATATATATAGATAGATAGAGAAAAAAAAAAAGAGAAAGAGAGAGAGATATATATATTTTCTATGCTGCAAAGTGGTGAAGAACATAATAGTGAGAATGTTAACATAAGTGTATAGACGCAAAAGAGACACATAAGATAAAGGGAACTTGTGAGAGATCAAAGGTTTTTTTGAAAAGTGTAAAATGTTATTCTATTATAAAGACTTGATCTTGTTTTCAAATAGTAGAATCTACCTTCTTTTGTGAATGTAAGTCACATTGGTTAAATCAAATAAATATATTATATTCTTTTTCCTTAATATATATTTTTTTTTAATTTTCAATTGTGTTTTATTCTACGTTTTGTGTTTTACTACTCTTGTTTGGTATTCTTGTTGCACGTGTTTCTTGATTTATTATTGGATAGGGTTTGTTGTCGTAACTTTCGTGTTTTAGGACCAAAATATATTGATTGGACAAGATAATATTGATAACAACATTCAACAAGAAAAAAATATTCAAAACACCAATAGTCATAATTAATTCCAATATATTAATTAAGAACAAAATAAAGCTGATGACAAGTAATTTATTGTTAAATAGGAATAGTGAACATAATTTTACATGAATTATTTCTTATTTAAGAGATGTGAAAATCATCGATTAAAACTTTAGAGGATATAACAGTAACGGTGGACATCCTTTATTTTTATATATATATATACACCAACAAACATTGCCGAATGGAGAGAGCTTATGGAGTAGTCGACTTAGTATGAAATGTTTTGGGAATGAGATATAAATCATCTTTTCGAGTAACTGTTATTCCAAATATCTCAGTCATGTCCAAATCTTCATTTTTCACTCCATTGGGAAGCTTCCAATTAAAATGATACATCAACATTGCAAGTGTGTACTCAACGTTGCTCAAGCCAAATGTGAGGCCTGGACACATTCTCCTTCCAGCACCAAATGGAATGAACTTAAAATTATTGCCTTTGTAGTCAACAGAACTTTCAATAAACCTCTCAGGATAAAACCTCTCAGCCTCAGTCCACACATTTTGATCTCTTGCAATTGCCCAAGCATTTACTATGATCTTGCTTTTCATAGGTATATGATACCCATTGATCTCACAGGCTTGTCTACATTCTCTTGGAAGCAAAAGAGGACCAGGAGGGTGTAATCTTAAAGTCTCACTAACAACAGATTTCAAATATTTTAGGTTCTCCATGCAACTTCCATTAGGTTTTCCTTCTTTATCAAATACCTTTCTTACCTCAGCTTGTACCTTTTCCATTGTTCTTGGATTTTTAATCATTTCTGCCATTGCCCATGTTATAGTTGCAGATGATGTATCACTCCCACCTCCAAAGATATCCTTCAAAATCATGAGATCATGTTAAATTCATTCAAAGACATCCAAATGGTTAGAACTTAGAAGACAAGGTAGATATGACACCCAATAATAATAATAAAAATAAAACTAGATCGTTGAAAACAACTTGAAATAATATGCTATCTCTGCAAAAAAAAAAAAAAAAAAAACTAGAAAAGTGATAGAACTGAAGTTATGAGTATGCATGCCTTCGAATATGCTTTTCAAGACTACTCACAAATTACTTATTTCATAGGAAACTGTTAGGCATGCATCAGACTTTCAATTTAACGCTCATTTGAGGAAGTCCATGAGAAAGAAGAATATATTATTAAGTAATGAACAAGAAAGTTTTCAATTTTCGACTCTCAGTTCCTAAAGTTTTAAGGATCTCAATTAGAACATGTAGGTTTATGGGGTCTTGTTTGACAACCGTTTTTAGGAACTGTTTTTATGTTTCTAAAAATTGAAAAATTAAAAATATATATTTAAATTATTTACGATTTAATTGTTTCTAAAACTGAAATTGATCCAATACCATCATGCCATGCATTGACTTTGTGTAGAACTGAATTATGATTCCTCGAGTAAGGTCTTGGTTTGACTTTTGTGAATGAAAAAAAATGCAATTTGGAGGGGGAGATACTTTTAAAAGAGAAATTAATAAGTTTTTTTTTTTTTTTTTTGGGATGATATCATGTGTAATCAATCTCTACATGAAATATAGTTTACATGAAATATAGTCGGGATGAAAGATTTTACTAAATTAAGTTTCCTGACAGTAAAACTTCAACATGCACACATCACATTGATGGAAGATATCAATATCCTTACCCAGATCACAGCCTTGATACTATCATCACCTAAGCAAAACTCCTGCTTCAAGAGCACATCCAGAAGAACTTCATCCACTTCTTCACCTTGCTCTTCTGTGGCTCTCGACTTAGACTCTCTATGTTCATTGATGATTTGTTGCATTATCTGGTCAGCTTGTTGATGCAACTTCTCAAGCTTAGGCTTCAACCCAGACATATGCTGAAGCCATTTTGCAGAAGGGTACAAATCTCCCAAGTCAAAACCTCCAGAAATTATTGTAGCTTCCTTTACCACTGATATCAGTTTCTGATGGTGCCTGCACTTGTTGCCAAGGGCTGTCCTTGCAGTAATTGTAAATACTGTTGAGGTCATTTCTTTGGTAATATTAAAAGATTCTCCTTCTTTTGTAGCAATCCATTTGATGAAATCAGTGAGCACTTCCTCTCTGATAGGTTGGAAAGATTGGACTCGTTTTGAGCTTAGTAGCTCCAGTGTCATGATCTTCTTCATCTGTCTCCAATAATCACCATAAGGTGTGAAAGCTACACCCTTGAAATTATAGTCCATTATCTCTGCAGCTAGGACATGAGGCCTTGATGCAAAGATGTGATCATGCGTTTTCATAACCTCCTTGGCATACACTGGGGATGAAACCACAACGGTAGGAACCTCTCCAAGCTTCAGATGCATCAAGGGTCCATATTTTGCTGATAAATCTCTTAGTCGATGATGGGGAAGTGGAGAGCCAATAAGGTTGTGTATGTTCCCTATGACTGGTAGCTTCCATGGCCCTGGTGGTAAATTTGGAGTTGTGGAAGATTTTTTGGTTAGTATCCTGTGTGTCATAAACATGAAAATGGAGAAAATAGATGTAAAGTAGAGGAATTGAAGATCCATTTCAAGGCTTTCTAGTTTTAGTGATGAAATACTAGTTCCAACCTTGTATATATAGAGGGGTTATAAAATTTTGTATATTTTCTAATCTAACGGTGTAATATTTAATAAAAATTACACTAGTATTATTATAACCCTTCCCATATCACTACAAGAATGTTTCGATTTAGAGTCGGTCATAAAAACCGACGTAATATTGTCAGTTATCCGTTGGTTTTTGACCAATGCTAAATAAGTCGACATAATTTTTTTTGTGTTGATTAAGTCGTGACTAACAAATTTATTTATTTTAGTTTTTTATTGTCGGTTAAGCCGACACTATGTTGACACAAAATTTATTTTATTTTTTTTTATCTTCTTTTTCTAGCTTATCATTTATTCTGTATTTTTAACATTCTTGGGACTCGATCCGTGAACCTTGAGGTCTTAAGTGAACTTGATAACCAAGTGTACTAGAACACATTATGCATATATAACATTGAAAAAAATATCTTTATCTCTCTCAAAACACGTATACTGTCGGAAAAGTTGACGTTATTTTAAAATATAGCGTCGGCTTTTTCGACACTAAATTTAAATTAAGTTTAGTGTAGGAAAAGCTGATGCTATTCTTTAAATATAGTGTTGGCTTTTTCGACACTAATTTAATTTAAATTTAAATTAAATTAGTGTGGGAAAAACCGACGCTATATTTAAATAATAGTGTCAGCTTTTCTGACGCTAAACTTAAAATAAATTTAAATTAAATATTTTAAGTTTAGCATCGGAAAAGTTGACGCTATATTAATAGCGTCGGCTTTTTCCGATGCTAAACTTAAAATATTTAATTTAAATTTATTTTAAGTTTAGCGTCGGAAAAACCGACGTTACATATTAAAATAGCGTCGGCTTTTTCAACATTATTTGCGTCAGCTATTAACCGACGCTTATTTTTCGCCGCTTAGTGTATATATATATCACTTTTAGTGTATAAAACCTTCACCATATATTATCTGCATTTGGTATTGTTAATCTCCTGGTTCCAAGATACGTACATGCTTTCAATACAATGCCGGTTCACACTTCAAAATGGATAAAAAAGCATGGAGTAATGATATGATAGGTTAATTGCTTGACATTTAGATTTAAAATAATTCCCAAGTAATGTTAAATTAAATGACTAAGCAAGACTATTTCACCGCTGTTATATCTTAGGACACGAAGTTGAACCGATATTCCTAAGATTGATTTTGTGATTTAAAATAATATTTAATAAGTGAAAGTCACATTGTACAAACAAAAATTATTTTTTATTGATAATTTTGAATTATTATTCAATTTTGGTGCATTCCTTCATTTGGGTCAAAGGTTTTTTAGTTATTATAAACATACACGCACATTTCCGTCCCTATTTTTTTTTTTTTTTAATTCTCTTTTCTCCCTGTTACATCACTTTATCGTGTTCACGTGCATAACATTCTTTCCTTGTATTGTTTTTCTCTTCATCTTTCTTCCTTCTACCTTAATCTACTCCGAAATGAAATCAGCTTTTAGTATATATTTTCCTTCTCAGAAGTTAATTTTCTGGACTGGTGACGCCCTAGATAGTGGAATTATATTGGCCATTAGAACTGGTCTTAACTTGACTTGGAACATTAATTTTAAGAATATGGATTCACATGAAAATTTAAAGTTCAACTCGTGACAACTGCACGATTCCACTATTCTCCACATCTTATCATGAACGTCAAGAGGTTAATGCAGAGAGTGAAAAGAAGAAAAATATTTATTTGAGTGTATTGATCTCATACTCGTTGATTCTAAACCAATTTGCAGACTTTAACAAAACTTGATCTGGAACGAGTTGGGAAAGAACGGAGTTTATAATTTCATAGTGTTCATTATATAAAAAAATTACACTCTAGAAATTTTAAATAACATATTTCTCACTGCTGTCATATTCTATAATTTTTATGAGAATTTAGAAAACATACATAGATCTATAATGCAATTCAGAATTTTTAATAAATTTTTCTCCTTTATCTTACTTCTTTTACTTGGACTCTATGATAATATATATTAAAAATCCTTTATTTAGTTCTTGACATATTCTTATTCTCACGGTCACTTACATGAAAAACAAAATTTTCAAAGATATGAAAACAAAAAAAACCAAAAACTCTTGAGAGAGAGAATGAGGTTATGCTTTTAAAAAACCAATTTTAATTTCTGTAATTTCCTTTTCCAAGTTCTTTTTCTTTAATGTGAAAATTACTATTAATGAAGTGAGATGAGAGAAAATTAATTTTAATAATTTTTAAAATAATCTCTAATAATTCTTAATATTTTTTAAGCCTAACAACCATTACATTTTCTATTAAACCATAATTGCTTCCTCGAACTTAAGCAAATATATAATTCATTATAGAAAATTAAAAAGAAGTTGAATTAAATGTAGTTCTATTACTTATCAGTTACCATTGTTTGTATTGTCTTTACCCACACACTCATCGACAAAATTAGTTCTCAAACTTTCAATTATTACAGAAATCCAATAGTAGAACCATTACCGTTCCTTAATCATTTAACGTGAGTTGAATAACCCTATTGCAATAGCATTACTTGAATTTCACTGGATTTGCTAACTGAAAACCCTATAGAACCCCAGTCACACCTAATTAAACACTTAATAATACAATTGCTGGGGTAGATAAATTGTGCCAGTGTTTACAACTTCGCTTTCCAAGGAATAGAAAAAAACTAACTTTTTCTTATCAATTTCAGGAACATCACCCTTCTCTGCCCTTACAATAAATTAATCATAAAAAGATGATATTAATTAATGATATATGCAAAGAGCGGAAATCAGGTCTTACTATATTCAATCAGGATAGTTCTGTCACATACATGCGAGATGCTTCGTCCAGCCTCCTCTCTGGCACAAAATGTTTTCACATGTTAGAAAACATATGTTGAACCTAAATCACGTAATGCGTATAGCATGCAAATTTACACACTAACGATTTTTAGTTGATAGGCAGTTTTTTTCTTCACCATGAAAAAATAATCTGATTGCGTGTGAATGTAAAAGAGAAAAAAATAGGCACAACTCACTAATAATAACAACAATTAATCCAATTCGAACGATGTGAAGTAACATGACTTTTTATAAAATCTATCTGTTTCATGAATCAACTCCCTCATCAAAGGATTTTTATCTTTAGGCTCTCAAAATATCATAACTCAAATCCTCACAATGAGATTCCTCACCACAAAAAATAAGTTTTTCCTCTAGTTCTAAGTTCAGTTCAACACAAAAAACATGCATCATGCATAATCAACTCAGACATTAATACTTCTTTTATACGATACAACAGACCTCAACTTAATTAATACCATATACATATATATACACATACACAACATCATCTTATAAAATAAGAGAATCAATATAACACCTTCATGTATTAACATTCTTCAACTTAAAACATGTAATAAACAATTAACAACTTAATTCACCAAGCATCTCAATAAACTTCAGCATAATAAACACAACATTCAAAAATAGGGGAATCATGTCGAGCAAGCATCACCTCGCTAGATGTCCAAATACTACTAAAATTTCTCTTATTACATGAGACTTTTCTCATAAAAATTCGCAAGAAACGTTGTTTCTACAAATTCTTTTGCGAAATCTTTTTTGCAGGTAATAACTTCGTGGATAATATATTTTTGCGAATTTTAAAATTCGCAGGAAATTTTCTTGCAAAAAAAATTTGTAGGAAAGTTTCCTGCGAATTTTTTCGCAAGAAATTCTGCAAGAATATTTTTTACAAAAAAATTAAAGAAATTATTATAAATTCTATAAATAATTCTTTAACTTTCAAATGCTCCTAATGAATTTATTTGAAGTATTTGTTTCCATGCCTCCAACAAGTGATATATAATCTTTTAAATTCTAAGATGGTAGATTATAAGCCTAACACTCAACCATACAAATTAATTTATAAGGTAAGTGTTGCCCCAACTTATATACTCTTTAATTGTTTTATTTTTAATTGATGTGGGACTTGAAGTTTTTTTAAAATATTAAACTTATAAATTTAAATATTTTTTATTTTTCCTGGGGATTAAAATTTGCAGGAAAATCCGCAGGAAAAGTTACCTGCAAAATTTTTCTACTATTTAATAAACATTACTTGCGATTTTATTTTTGCAAGAAAATCTGCAAGAAATAAAATAAAATTCTTACAATATTTTCTGCAAATTTTTACCATGGAAAATTTTTTCTATGATTGTTAAAATTGTAGCAAAATTTGTAAAAAATATCTGTAAATTATTTTTCACAAATAAATTCGCAAAAAATTTCTGCAAATATTTTTTTTTCAGGAAAATTCGCAAAATATTTATGCGAATATTTTTTTGCAAGAAAATTCGCAAAAAAAATTATGCGAATATTTTTTTGCAGAAAATTCGTAGGAAAATGACACTTTTCTAGTAGTGATATAATCATTTTATGTTGTCTTTCTTACCAGGTGGCTTACTATACGTGTGTGTAGTTGATGGGCTAGAGCTAACCTTTTGCCTTCCCCTACCACTAGCACTAGGTTTGTTTTGCTTTTATCTACAATGCTTAAAAATATAAGCCTATTTAATATTTTATTTTACGTGGGGAAAAATGATTCTTTATAGTAGTAAAAGTAGTTTAGTTAATGAATCCTTCCATTTTTATGCTTTCCCATTTTGTATTCATATTTGATCGTTTTGAAAATGAGCTTGATATTTAAGACATATTCTATATTTAGATTTGAGTAGTGTTGCCTCATGTCCATGGATAAATACTTGATTCTCTAATTTTCTGCTTTATAGGAACAATAAATATCGTTATACATTAAATAATTTTTCTTTAAGTTATAAAAGATTGGATTGAATACCTTTTTCCAAAGTCTTCTGTACCTTCACTAGAGTTAAGATTAATATCCGAGTGATTATAAAAAGATTGGTACTGAAATCATTCTACATTCCTATAGTTCCTAATTTGTAAAAATGAAAAGAAAAAAAAAGTTTAGAACTTCACAGAACCTTATTCTGTGTGATGATAAGTTATTTTGTGCTTTGGCTATCACACATAGCTCATGGAAGAAACAAGATTCTGCATGTTTTGATTTTTGTGTAGGAATTGTTTGACCAAACAATTATTATTTCACTAATTTAAACTCTTTTGTTCTTATGATTCAGGAACAACCATTTGTTTATGAGAAGCAATGAGCTGGAAGTTGCATGGAATAATCTAACTATTTTTGAATGAGATAGACAAGGATAACATATCAGTGGAGCTTCTTGGGTCGTAGTCTAGTTAGCAGGATTTACTACCACTTGTTAGGGGTAGCTTTCTATTGCATATATATGTTTTGTATTAGTAATGTTTGTGTTGTTAATTTATTTTGTTTGGTACAAATTATTGCACAGAAGAATGTGCATTTATTTAAATGTTAATTATAATTTCTTTTTTTAAAAAATAGAACTACTTGTGTCGGCCAAGCAGACTCAAAAATTGATGCTAATAAAAGTATAAAATACAAAATAAAAATTTTGAGGGTCTAAATCTACCATTACAAATAAGAAAATGTCAATTAACCCGACACTATTGGAGATGGAAAAAAAAAACCATTAATGTCAATTAAATTGACAATAAATAAAATGATAAAGTAATAAAAAGTTAAAGGAAAATGTCAACTTATCTGATACTACTGAGAGTGTAAAAAAAAAAAAAAGAATTAATGTCAATAAACTGACAAAATAAAAAAACCTAAGCGTCAACTTGTTTTTATGACAACATTAATATTCGTGTATAGCCGATTTTTAGTAAGTGTTTGACAAATTGGCCGACACAAGTGAGTTAGTACTGATTATTTTGTCATTGGTGTTCATCCAACACTTTTCCAAACTAAAACTAGTTTTTGTTTCGGTTTTTGAGTGTTGGAGACAGCTTAAAGCTAATTCTAATTTGTGTGATTCTTGTAATGCGGGTTTAGTAGAATAGAACTAACAATTATTTATAATAATATAATGAAAACTAACTAATTTTTGTAATAGATTAACTACTCTTAGCAGTAGAAAGCAAATATAACTTGTTTCGTGCGTACTTGATTTTGTGGTAGAACATTTTTCGTAGCATCGCTTTCCTCTTTGTAATTCTACTATTTTTTTTCTACCATTACTTTGACAAGTTTAATTGTTGAAAAAAAATGGTAGAAGTGAGTCGTAGAAAATGGCCGATGATGTCCTGAATAATATTGATTTATTAAGACAAGATAACAACATACAACAAGAGGAAAAATGTTCAAAAATGAATAACGCTAATTAAATCAAATAAGAACAAAATCAAGATGATGACAGGGAGGTAATTAATTTATTATTGGATAGGAATATAAAATATCAATACATGAAGTATTTATATTAGGAACTTTAGAGGGTATAACTGTATAATGGTGGACATATTTTTATATATGCCAAATGGAGAGTAGGTCCACAGGCTAAGTATGAAAAGTTTTTGGAATGAGATATAAATCATCTTTTTGAGTGACTGTTATTCCAAATATCTCGGTCATGTCCAAATCCTCATTTTTCATTCCATTGGGAAGTTTCCAATCAAAATGATACATCAACAATGCAAGTGCATACTCAACGTTGCTCAAGCCAAGTGTGAGGCCCGGGCACATTCTTCTTCCAGCACCAAATGGAATGTATTTGAAATCATTACCTTTGTAGTCAATAGAACATTCAATGAACCTCTCAGGATAAAACCTCTCAGCCTCAGTCCACACATTTGGATCTCTTGCAATTGCCCAAGCATTCACTATGATCCTGCTTTTCATAGGTATGTGATACCCTTTGATCTCACAAGCTTGTCCACTTTCTCTTGGAATCAAAACAGGACTCGGAGGGTGTAGTCTTAATGTCTCATTAACAACAGATTTCAAATATTTTAGGTTTTCTATGCCACTTCTATTAGGCTTTCCTTCTCTATCAGATGCTTCTCTTACCTCAGCTTGTACCTTTTCCATTATTCTTGGAGTTTTAATCATTTCTGTCATTGCCCATGATATGGTTGAAGATGATGTATCACCTCCACCTGCAAAGATATCCTTCAAAATCATGAGATCATGTTAATTCTTTTATTATCAGTAAGATCGTGTTTAATTTATTCATAAGACATCCAAATTGATAGAACTTTGAAGACAAGGTAGATATGGCACTTAATAAAACAAGACTAGATTGGTTAAAACAACTTCATAAAGTGTTTTAGGATTAGTGGTTTTTTCCTTCATCGTAAAATGTTTTTTTTTTCTTTTATTCTTGACTTTTCATGCCTGCATTTTTTAAATTCCCGCAGTCCTTGGTCTAACTTTGTTACGTTATTGTACAGTTACTTGATCCGTCTAACAAAGAGGCAAAATCCATGTGTTATGTGACTAGAACCAAAAAGAGACTATAATATATATATATATATATATATATATATATAATAAATAAATAAATAAATAAATAAACCTATCTCACATATGCTAGCTTATTTTCATAGTGTTCAGCCGCATGGAAAAACTTATAAGGTGGTTAATTAGATTAACCAATTTGATCAAAATAGACTGTTTTTGGTACTACAAGCATATTTGATAACTAAAAGTGTATAAGTTAGGAGATGAAAATAAAAACTTATAAGCTATAGCTATATAATTTGACTAGTTTATCAGTTTGTTTGATACACAAACTTATTTTACTAGTTTTTAACTAATTTTCTTAAGTCGTTATAATTAGTTTATGAAAATCAACTTGTTTATAAATTATTACAGTTTGTTTTTTACTTTTATTTGAAATCTCTTTTTACTTCAAATAACTAAATATGTCTTTTAATATTTATTGGATAATATTTTCAAATACTTTGAATATGTTTAGCAAAATTAGCTTTCCATTGGCTAATATTTTTTACACTGGTTCAAGTAGTTTATGAAAAAAAATTCATGTACCAAGCATATAGTTAAGCTAATTTGTAAATTCTTCTAATAGCTTGCCACACTTTTAATAGATTTTGAATGAGAAATTAATTATAATATATAGTGTGAAATTATTTTAAAAATCACATGTTATATTAAAACCAAAAAGTAAGAGAATAAAAAATGCCCTAGTTATCAATATATATCCTTACCCAGATCACAGCCTTGATATTATCATCACTTAAGAACTCCTGCTTCAAGAGCACGTCTAAAAGAACTTCCTCCATGTCTTCATCTTGGCCTTGTGCGGCACTTGATTTAGCCTCTCTGCGTTCATTGATAATGTTTTGCACTATCTGGTCAGCTTGTTGATGCAACTTCTCAAGTTTAGGCTTCAACCCAGACATGTGCTGAAGCCATTTAGCAGAAGGATACAAATCTGCCAAATCAAAACCTACAGCAACCTTTGTAGCTTCCTTTACCAGTGATATTAGTTTTTGATGGTGCCTGCAATTGTTGCCAAGGGCTATCCTTGCAGTGAGGGCAAATACTGTTGAAATCACTTCTTTGGTAATATTAACAGGTGTTCCTTCTTTTGAAGCAATCCATTTGATGAAACCAGTGAGCACTTCGTCTCTGATTGGTTGGAAAGACTGGACACGTTTTGAGTTTAGCATCTCCAATGACATTAGCTTCTTTATCTGTCTCCAATAATCACCATAAGGTGTGAAAGCTATACCCTTGAAATTATAGTCCATTATCTCTGCAGCTATGATATAAGGCCTCGAGGCAAAGATATGATCATGGGTTTTCATAACCTCCTTGGCATACTCTGGGGATGAAATCACAATGGTAGAAACCTCTCCAAGCTTCAAATGCATCAAGGGTCCATATTTTTCTGATAAATCTCTAAGTCGGTGATGGGGAAGTGCAGAGCCAACAAGGTTGTGTATGTTACCTATGACAGGTAGCTTCCATGGCCCTGGTGGTAAATTTGGAGTTGAGACAGATTTTTTGGTTACTATCTTGTGTGTAATTAACATGAAAATGAAAATGGAGAAAATGGATGTAAAGTAGAGGATTTGAAGATCCATTTCAAGGCTTTCTAGTTTAGTGATGAAAATTGGTCGACTATCCACTCTTATATATATAGACTGTTGATCCTTCATCATCCGTTATAGGGTATTATTTCATGATACTGTTAATTTGATTAAAAAACAGCGGTTCAAAATGGATCAGATGTGAACAAAGGGAAAACAAAAATGACTAAAAAACATACGTGTATATTAGAATAATGCAATGGCTTTGGGACACTTTAATTGACTAACATTCTGTTTCAAAAATTGAAATTCAACATTGTCTACTGTTTTTTTCCACCTCATTTTCTTTCAGTCATGTCACTTTTATATCAAGTTATCATGATGGTCATTTTTTATTTTGACTTAATTGTGGAATATCCAACACAGCTAGCTGAGTGACAACTCGCAATCCAAAATCTTAAATATTCTAAACAGTCTGGTTCCATTTTAAAATTTGGAATTATTGTTATTTATGTTTTCTTTGTTCCTTTTATCTTTAATCGATGTTAGATTTGAATTTTTTTTTCCAATTAATAATCATTCTTATACTTAGTACTATTGGATACATAGATAAATGGTTGCTTACCCTTTTTAAATGATATAGGATAGACAAAACTTAAGTTTTTTTTTTTAGTATACCATTTATACTTGGTATTATTAGACTTGTTGTATGTAAAATGATTGTTGATTCTTTTTTAAAGGGATTTAGGATAGCTATGATATTATGTTAAAATGTGGACTTTAAATTAACTCAACCTTACAAAATAACATTTAAGGTGGAGATTGTTCCCTAGTCCCTACTTATATATTCTATTTTGGTCATATTATTAGTTGATATGCGATCTCTAACAATTTCGTGATTTTTTTTTCATTTAACTTCTAAAATTACTCATTTTGTCACACAACTTTAAGTTTTAACATTTAGCTAACCTTTTAGTGTCATTAGTGTCGTTAATGTGGCATGTTTATTTTTAGTGTAATACGTTGACTATTGACGCAAATTGTCAATATGTTATATAGATGAGGATGTGACATAATGTGTCATATGATGTTATCATTCAACGTGATACATTAATATTCAACATACCACATCAACAATTATCACTGCAAAAAATGTTGTACTTTTCAAATGCATTCAAGGTGAGTTTTCAAACTTTGAATTGTATTTGGTGAGAAGTTGATGACATACTGAAGTTTAATGAAAACACAGAGAAGGGGGGTTGAATGTGTGTGTGAACGAAGGATTTTAAAACTGTTTTCGCAAATGTGCTTCTTTCCGTCTGAAAGTAAGGTTATAAATGCTTTGACGAAAATGCAAAATTGGTTAACAGAAGCTTTGCGTCTAAAGATCTATCGTCTGTTCAAAAAATGGTTTCTTGAATTCAACAAATATAACTTTGTTTATATATGATTTAAAAATTAAGTAGTAGTAAACAAATTTTGTGTGATAGATCAATATAAGCAAAAACTACGTTTTTAACACAAATAATAATGCACAGAGTTTTTATACTAGTTCACTCGTTTTGAGCTATGTCCAGTCTCCTTCAACTCAAAGGTTCCACTAATCACAATGAATTACAAGTATTCTTAACAACTACTGGTTCATCAACTTCACTTGTTGACGCTAGTATTATTAAACCACTTCTAGTTACCCAATATTCTCAACCACTCCTGGTTCGTCAACTTCACTTGCTGACGCTAGTATTCTTAAACCACTTATGGTTACCCAAGTATTCTTTTGCTAGCCTCTTTAGGCTTTACAAACGATAGTTGTTTTGAGTGTGTTTGTAACTCTCATAGAGAGAATGAAATGGTTTCAACACTCAGTAAGTTTTTCAACCCTAGTTTTACAAAAATGTGTTTAGAGTGTGTATGTAACTGTCACAAAGAGGATAAAATGATTTCTACACTTACTAAGATAAGCTATCTTAGTTTTACACTGATATTCAACTTTTGCACAAGAAGAGAAGTAAGGTTGTTTTGACGCTTGTTTTGGCTTATTGCTTGTTGCTTCTCATCTTTTTTTCTTCTTTTCTTCTCAGGTCTTGATATTTATAGCCTTGTGATAGATTTGTACGTTATTTGAATTTGAATGTATCTATTGAGGCGGAGCTTTTCGTTGGTGCAGATAAGTGTTCGTTCATGGATACAAAGATCTTCTACATTTAATGCGTTTGATTTTGCATTAAATGTTTTGCTTGCTTAATCTGTGTCACGTGAAGTCCTTTGCATAATTTGTTTCCTTTTATTTCTGACTTCAATCATGACCTAGGTATGTTTGTCCTTTTTCTGTCATTGTAGCTGCGGAGACATTGCCTTTCTCTGAAAAGTAGGTGTACTTGCCCTGACACACACAACTTTGACTTGTAAATTCACGCTCTTGCATTTTTCTTCTTTCTTTTCATATCTTTGATAACTCCGTGCGCTTTTCTTATAATTGGAGATGATGTATGATCTTCCTCGTTGTGACTAGTGGATTCTAGACGCTTTTCATCATGCTTCGTTTGCGTCTGGGAAAATAAGTTTCCGTATAAGGTTTAGACTTTGACTTTTTCATTTCGTCTGATCATTCTTGAGGATGAATAAATCTTAATCCATCTGGAATGCTTCTTCGTCTTAGATTATCCAACGACTAATAATTGTTTTGTTGACTTGAATATGTATGATTGACCCTTTAGCTTCATCTGATGTTTATTTGATGCTTGAGCCAACTTTGTCTTGGTCTTGCTTTGCTCTTATTTTTGATTTGTATTGCGCTCTAGATTTTTCTTGACGTATCTTCGTTTGGTATGCATTATCGTCTGATATGCAAGCCATGATCCTTCTATTATTTGGCTTGTTTTGTCGGATCCTTATTTTGCTCGACCCTGCTTCATGCTTTAGTTTTGCTTGTTCTTATTCATATCTTAAACACTACTACATAGATTAGTAATAATAATATGTATTATATTTGTCATATTCAAAACCTTGCTGAGAATTGCTTCATCTGACTTAACAATCTCCCTCTTTTTGATGATGACAAATATAATTTATCAAATCATTTTAGATAAAATATAGTTTCAAGCAGTTTATGCAATTCATATATCAGTTTGATTTCTGGATTTTCTAAATATTAAAGACAAGGGTGCTCTCCCCCTTACTAGATTATTCTAGTGCTAAGGCTCTCCCCCTTAGTATGTGCTCTCCCCCTTACTAGATTATTCCAATATAGAAATATAGATAGGGTTGATAGATTCATTCCTATTTCTCCCCCTTTATAATCATCAAAAGGAATAAGGGTTGACAAGTAGCAACTTATTATTCACCTATTAACTCCATGCCTAGCCTATCTCTTAGCCAGGTGTATCTATCTTCTTGAAGAGGTTTTGTAAAAATATCAGCTAATTGTTCCTTTATTTTGACATATATCAAATCGAAGGTTCCTTTTTGTACATGATCTCTAATGAAATGATGTTTAATCTCAATGTGTTTAGTCCTAGAGTGCAAAACAGGGTTTTTAGAAATGTTAATAGCAACAGTGTTATCACAAAGTACAGGAATACTACTTTCATAAATTTTGTAGTCTTCTAGCTGATGTTTGCTCCAAAGCAGCTGCGTAAGGAAGTCTCCTGCGGCAACATACTCAGCTTCGCAAGTTGATAAGGCAATCGTGCTTTGCCTTTTTCTAGTCCATGAAACCAAGCAGCGATCAAGAAAGTGACACCCTCCACTAGTGTTTTTTCTCTCTCATTTGTCCCCTATGTAATCTGCATCACAATAACCTAACAAGGAAAAATTCTGGCTTCTTTAGAAGTTGATTCCTAGGTTAGTTGTTCCTTCAAGATATCTCAAAATACATTTAACAGCTTGTAAATGTACCTCCTTAGGTCTTACTTGAAATTTGGCACAGACGTAGACGTTGAACATAATGTCAAGTCTGGATGTCGTTAGGTATAAGAGTGAGCCTACCATTCCTCAGTACATGGTGCTATCTACCTCTGGTGAGTCTTTTTCCAGACCAAGGGTTGTGGATGGATGCATTGGTGTCTTCATTGGTTTTGCATCATGCATCCATCTTATATTTCTTTAGTAGCTCTTTTGTATACTTCGTTTGATGAATTTTGATTCCTTCGTCTGACTGGACGATTTGAAGCCCTAGAAAGAACTTCAGTTCTCCCATCATGCTCATCTCAAATTCATCCTGCATATAAGCTTAGAAAACTCTTGACAGAGATTATCATTAGTAGCTCCAAATATTATGTCATCTACATAAATTTGAGCTATTATGAAATCATCTTTTATTTCTTTCCTAAAAAGTGTGCTATCAATCTTTCCCTTTATGAAATTATTGCTTGTTAGAAAAGAGCTTAATTTATCGTACCACGCTCGTGGCGCTTGTTTAAGTCCATACAAAGCTTTGTTTAATTTGAAAACATGAGATGGAAGCAGGTCATTTTCAAAACTAGGGGGTTGGCACTAGTACAAAAGAGGAATTCCACGTCGGATATTTTGAGCTTTTTACGTCAGAAAAAATACCAACGTAAAAGCAGGAGACATAAATTTACGTCAGACTTGTCAAATCGACGTAAATTTATGTCGGACAATACCAAATCCGACGTAAAAAGTAGTAAAAAAAACAAAAAAAAAACATATGAATGCAAGCAGAACGGCCCGTTCTGCATGCAGAACGACCCGTTCTCCATTCAGAACAGCCTGTTCTGCTTGAAGAACGGGCCGTTCTGCTTGGAGAATGGGTCGTTCTGCAAGCAGAACAGGTCGTTCTGCTTCGTAGAACAACCTAAAAGAAAATGCCAATGAACTATACAAATAGAATAACCAAAAAGTTGAATAAAACAGATAGCCACAATAGCAATGCGAAGTAGAAAAGTGTTAATGAAACCTTGATTCATACCTGATGAGCTGCAACAGTGTGCGAATGAGTAACAAAGAGTTCACCCCTCTGCAAAAGACAAAAAAATGATTCAGTAACAAAGGAGAGGGAAAGGGTTTACAGAGAAAAAAATGAAAAGTGATGA